TAGATAGATAGATAGATAGATAGATAGATAGATAGATAGATAGATAGATAGATAGATGAGAGAAAGAGGATAGATGATAGATGGATGAATGAATGGATAAATGGATAGATTAGACAGAGGGTTGGACATACAGTGTGATGGATTGATGGATGGATGGATGGATATAGGTAGACGGACAGACAGGTGATACAGATAGCTAAAATAAAAATAAAGGCAGAGAAATGGATGGATGGATGGATGGATGGATAGGGAGAAAGGGAGAAGATGGATAGATAGATTAGATAGATAGATAGATGATACATAGGCATGATAGATAGGCAGACAGACAGACAGACAGATAGATGATAGACAGACAGACAGACAGATGATAGATAGGCAGGCAGGCACAGTAGATCATAGATAGCTAGATAAAGATGGATGGATGGATGGAGAAAGGTAGATGATATAGGTAGACAGATGGACAGACAAATAGATGATAGATAGCTAGATAAAGAGAGATGGATCGATAGAGAGATAGAGAGGATAGAGATAGAGAGATGGTGGGAGAGAGAGAAGATGGATGGATCGATAGAGAGATAATCCATGTTTGCATACACGGCAACCGAGGGCTGCATGTTGCCTGCGCCCCACCACCTGAAAAGCAAAGCTAGTTTCAAACTCATCGCGATCCGCGAACGCCGCGAACGCAAACCCGTGCCCTTTGCGGTCTTCCTGGCCCACCGCCTTTCCCATCCCCAGCTCGGAGGCAATCGTGTCCCGATTATTATTTTTTTCCTCCGTGTTCCATCTCCACCCCCTAACCTCTCAGTCCGACTCTTCCACAGAGAGCGGAAAGCAGAAATGAAACCGGCCACATTTTTCTCTCGCCCTCCTCCCCGCCGCCCCGGCGTTTTGAGTTTTAAGAAGCGCCTTTTCTTTTTATTTTTTGCGAGCGAGCCACAGGCAGGCAGTGGGGGGGTTGTTGAAACCCCGGGTTGTTATGGGATACAACAAGGCCCCCTTTGTGTTAGCACGGTGCCCGGGCTGCCCCCGCCATTCGGGCCCCGCGCCCCTTCCAGCCTTGGCATGGGGTGGTAAACACTCAGTTGCTTTGTCCTTTTGCAGCCAGCCACGCAACCTCGACGGCGCTGGTGGTGATCGCTCTCCTCGTGGCGGGATTGCTGGTCGGGGGCCTCTGTTGTGTCAAACGGCTGGGACTTCACAAGCGCCTCTGCCAATTCGGCAAGGGCACCAGTTGCCAGTACAGGTAAAGACCCCCTTCTTCCTCCTCTTCCTCGCTCCCCACTCCGAGGGGGTTTTGTCTTTTCCCGACAAAAACCTGGCCCGTTTTATTTTATTTCGGAAATGCCTTCGCCGGCTGTCCTCGTCTCCAACCGTTCGGAGCAGCTTCCGTCTCATAAAACCGGAGGTCTCCCAACTTGACCGCTTTGAGGACTTGTGGACTTCAGCTCCCAGAATTCCCCAGCCAGCATCGCTTTAGGGGCTTCCGCTCCCAGAATTCTGGGCGTTGAAATCCACAAGTATTAAAGTGGCCAAGTTTGGAGGCCTCTGCATAAAACATTAAAGGGGGGGGGGGGGGGGGGGGGATATTACAATCAGGGCACACAGCGGAATGTTAGAACCTTGTCCAAGTTGGAAGGAAATCTTAGAGGTCTTCTAGTCCAGCCCCTACTTGAGCAGGAGATCTACACCATGGGTTTCCAGTCTCTTCTTTAAAAAGCCTCTTGTGATGGAGAAGGAAAGGAGGGAGAGAGGGAGGGAGAGAGGGAGGGAGGGAGGGAGGGAGGGAGGAAGGAAGGAAGGAAGGAAGGAAGGAAGGAAGGAAGGAAGGAAGGAAGGAGAGAAAGGAGGGAGGGAGGAAGACTAGTAGAATAACAGGAAGGAAGGAAGGAAGGAAGGAAGGAAGGAAGGAAGGAAGGAAGGAAGGAAGGAAGGAAGGAGAAAGAAGAGAAGGAAGGCAGGCAGGCAGGCAGGCAGGAAGGAAGGAAGGAAGGAAGGACGGAAAGAAGGAAGGAAGGAAGGAAAAAGAACAGCAGAATAACAGAGTTGGAAGGGACCTTAGAGGTCATCCAACCCCCTGCTCAAGCAAGACACCCTCTCCCATTT